TTCCTGTGCGGTCCTGCCCCAAAATAGCCTTCAATGTGCCTATGTTTTTAAAGTAGAGCTTTAGTGCACTTTGGAATACATATATATATATTTGTTTAATTTGTTTCTCATAATGTCCTTTCACCCAGCCTTTGGGTACCCAACTTTGTTTGTTTCTTTGGGTTGAGGTCTTTTCCCTCCCGTTTTGGTCTGCAGATTAACAGAGACAGGTACCTCCAAGACCAGCGGGGGAAGCTCCAGGGCCTTCTGGTAGTAGTGAATGGCCAGATGGACCAATCCGAGCTGGTGAAGACCGCGGCCTAAATTGTACAGAGATTCTTGGCACGAGCCACGGAGCTGCAGGTAGCGGTGAAGGAAGGAGAAGCCCTGGCTTAAAAAGAAAAAAAGAACGGCACAGAGTCAAAACAGGGAATTACGAGAGCCATATAAAAGACATAAAACTAAAGGATCGTCTCTTGTAATAGCCGCTTCTTCCCACTTTAACACCATAGAAATTTCTCGCACCTGTTTGGAACAGTGCAGCAGCAACAGAAATGTCAAGTGGGTTAAAAAACTGGAAATCTCCAATGCAGGTATTTCAATACAGTCTTCAAATGAATAAATGTAAGCTAGGGACACAGAGAAGGGAGGAAGGATACCTCTTGTGTCTCTCTTTCTAGGTTTTTTTTGGGGGGTGGGGGAATGGTTGTAAGTTAATGATCCACTCGCAGCTGAGGAAAACTGATTTGTTTTCGATGTATATTTATAGTTAGGAGTTTTGGCCCCCATGTGCATGACTTTGCACTTGCCCGTGTCGAACCTCATTTGCCATGTTGGCGCTGCAGGAAGTGGTGGCCGGCTACAAGCACAGACCGCTTCAAGAGGGGACTGGAAAAACATATGGAGCAGAGTGCAGGGGGTTGGACTAGATGACCTGCAGGGTCCCTTCCAACTCTAACATGCTATGATTCTATAAGAGTGGTTGAGCAGTGGAACAGAGGTCCATCAGTGAGAGCGAGTTTGGTGGAGTGGCTAGGGACGCGGACCCTAATCGGGGAGAACTGGGTTTGATTCCCCACGCCTTCACATGCAGCTGCTGCTGTGACCTTGGGTCAGTCACACGTTCTCTCAGAGCTGTTCTCTCAAGGGCAGTTCTCGAGAGAGCTCTCTCAGCCCCACCTACCTCACAGGGTGTCTGTTGTGGGGAGGGGAGGGGAAGGGAAAGGAGATTGTAAGCCGCTCCGGGTAGTGAAGGGCTGGGTATAAATCCAATCTCTTCTCCCTTCAGTGGCTCTTAGCCAAAAGGTATAGATGGAATACTCTGTATTCTTGGTGCTTGGGGGGGTGGCAATAGTCGGAGGGCTTCTGGAGTTCTGCCCCCACTGCTGATGGCACCTGGTATTTTTGGCCACTGTGTGACAGAGTGTTGGACTGGAGGGGACATTGGCCTGATCCAACATGGCTTCCCTTAAGCTCATCCTACCCCCTTTGAAATTGAAGGAACTGCCCTAAACATGGCAGTGAAATTGAAGGAACTGCCCTAAACATGATTTTTTTTTTTATCCAGGGGTGGCAAGGCACGTGTCGCTACGAATCATATAGACAAAACTCTTACATTTTTTTATATATTTCACAAGGGGGAAAAGAAACCTGCTTTGACCCCAACTGAACATCAGGAAAAACATAAATATAGGAGATGAGAAAGAGACGTCTGTGTTTATTAATAGCATTTCCAAATGCAATTTCTGGGATTAAAAGGCAGACCTCTGGACAGCCAAAGTCTGTTTGGTGAGGAAAAAAATACATCCTGGTTGCTTTTAACTCTGATAGACAAAAGGGATACAGATTTGAGCAAATAAGAAAATAGCCAGTGACATTTCGTATGACGTGGCCTAACGTGCCCATCCACATATTTTCTGCAGCAAGCCCAATTACTGAAACACAAGGAGGCCATTCTTTTTAAAAAAATTCACATTAGAGGTGTAGCATCACCATCTTTCATGACTTTGAAGTAAACAGACTAATCCTTGAACCAGACAGGCAGCCATCTGAAATCACGCCACTCTCCAAGATAGAAGGACAGATGGACTCACACTCATGCTGTATCTGAAGAAGTGAGTGGTGACTCCCGAAAGCTCCTCCCCTGCCACGAATTTTGTTAGTCTTTAAGGTGCTGCTGGATTCTTGCTCTTTTCTACTAATCCTTGATCTGCCATCACCGGAGAAAGCCACACCACATTCCCCCCCACCCCAAGCCATGCCTCTAACTTGCAAGAGGACAGTGTGGCCCATGTATGCACCCCCACTGACCTGGACTATGAGCGCATGCCTCTTCAACACGTACTTCTGAGACGCCATGTGGATGAAAGTGAGCCCTATGCAGAGGCTGTAGAGGGGCTCCTCTGGATTAGTGCGGAAAGCTTGTACGTATTGCCCTAGGAGGGAAACAGATTGTGACGTGACGCCCGAATTTCTCTCTCAAACGTTTCTCTCATGAGATAAAACTTCCCAACAGTTACAAGAAGAAACAGTCTAGACTTCAAACTAATGTTAATGGGTATATTAGGAAATAAGACAGTTAACATGGAAGCCCAGGCTATACTTAAAGCTATGGTATTAGCAGGCAAGGCAGTGATAGCTCTGGGCTGAAAAGATAAGAGCAAATGGACAGTAGATACCTGGCACACCTATTTGTTTGATTCTGAAATTACGCCAGAAGACCACATGGGAGGATAAAGCCGAAGAAATCAAAAACAGATGGAAGACTCAGACTTTGTGCCCGTGGCTGGGAATAAAGGACCAATGACTAAGGGGCAGAGGGAGGGAGGGGGGGAATTTAACGAGTTATGTAAAGTAAGGAGACAAAAGACATCATGTAACATATGGAAACCCCCCCAAAAAACAACAACAAGAAGAAACAGTCAAGTCACACAGCTTTATGTCGCTAAGAGATAAACACCGGAGTGTCACGCAGGAGACATTGCCGTCATCCCATTTATCTGTAAGAAGCGGTGCCTCTCGCCCTCTAGTTTCCGCCACTTAGAAACATCAGTCAAACAGGAGGAGTGAGCGAAGGAGAGAAGAAGAGATTGGATCTATACCCCGCCCTTCACTACCCGAAGGAGTCTCAGAGCGGCTTACGAAGTCCTTTCCCTTCCCCTCCCCACAACAGACACCCTGTGAGGTAGGTGGGGCTGAGAGAGCTCTGATGAGACAACTGCTCGTGAGAGAACAGCTCTGAAAGAACTTATGACTGACCCAAGGTCACACCAGCAGCTGCATGTGAAGGAGTAGGGAATCAGACTCGGTTCTCTCAGATTAGAGTCCGCCCTCCTAACCATGACACCAAACTGGAGCCAGGACACAGGAACTGGCACTCTCTCAAGGGCTAGGATCTGCTACAAATGCTCAGATATTAGAGGCCTTCCTTCACACTGTTCCCATTACTGCTCTCCGGTTGCCTAAAGGCTCAATGACCCTGTTTTCCATCTGTTAATCGTTGATCCATTAGATCCACAGGGCTCCCTGAATCTCAGTTGACCAGAATTCCTCCACTTGCATCGGCAGACACATGGTTTTCTGACATTTTTCCTGTAACACGGCTCTCATCTACATCCCCAGCGTGGTGCCAATGGCACCCCTCCCCAATATCTTTCTTGGAACCCGCCAAACGTTTTGGGAAAATGAGCAGGAGCGGGTGGGGCTTCTGGGCCAGCAGGACCTCTGATTGGTCACTGGAGAGCTCACTGGCGGACAACTCTTGTGGCACTCGCCAAACGTTTATAGAAAATGGGCAGGGTGAAGTGGGGCTTTTACTCAGCAAGGATACTGATTGGCCACTGGGGACGTGGTTGGATGCAGCATTAAGCTGAGCCAGTGTGAGCTAGCTCACAGTTTATTAGCCTCCGGCTCACAGATTTTTGTCTTAGCTCAGGAAGGAGGGCTCTAGAGCAAACTAATTCATGCAGGAGCCAAATTGCTCGCTCACAACTTTAATACAAGCAGCTCACAAAGTAGAATTTTTGCTCACAAGACTCTCCACAGCTTAGAGGCAGCTTTGGTTGGATGTGCAGATTTTAAAAAAATGCTGCTTCAGCGGCTGCTGCCATCACAGCGCGAGGACCTTTACTGTGTGACTGAAGATAAGCTGTATGCAAGAAAATAATTTTTAAACAATAGGGTTCACTGTAAAAGGCACCTGGCTAAACATGGCTTCTGCCTGAAATGCTGAAGAGTAACTAGCAGGGTTACGCGTGACCCCATTGTCTGACATTTTGTGGTTGGCTCTGCCTTTTACGGCAGCCATTTTGGGACTGCGCCCCCCACGGCTGTGTCAGAATTCCAAGGGAGCCTGCGGGATCAAAAAACTTGGGGCCGATCTATTTGTACAGAAAAAAATGGGGATGGGAAGGGAATCACATGATAGGAGCAGGCAAACGCAAAGTCAAACATTACCTCAGGTTATACGGATAACGTTCTGCGAATTCTAGCCACAAGCTTACCGAGAGCGTGCTTGAAACTGCCGGAAACGAAAGCATTGTGGCCGTTTAAGACGCAAAGCGCATGGTTCTCAGGGTTTTTCAGCATCAGCCGCAGGCAGAAGCGATGGTGCCGGACGTCCTGCGAGTGCATGGTGATTTGGTTGAAGATATTCCAGAGCTGAGGTTTGCTGACGTGCTCCATGACCATGATCCTGAGAGGGAGAAGCGGACATTTTTTTCCCCACCAGACAGCATATAGCAGACCAGATGGATCGTTCTACGTTCTTTTTTTAAAAAAAAACTTAATTTTTAAATTTATTTTTCTTACATCATAGAATCATAGAGTTGGAAGGGACCTTGCACGTCATCTAGTCCAACCCCCTGCAGTCTGCAGGAGCATAGCTGAAAGACAGCCCTTCAATATACCCGAAAGATGGTCGTCCACTCCAGCCTCCGCTTGGAAACGTCCAGCGAAGGAGCATCCACCACCTCCCGAGGCAGTCTGTTCCACTGCTCAACCACTCTTACAGTTAGGAAGTTTCTCCTGATATTTAGTCGGTAATGACTCCCTTGTAATTTCCACCCATAAGATCTAGTCTTGCAATCCGGAGCAAGAGAGAATAGATCTGCTCCATCTTCTACATGACAGCCCTTCAAATAATTGAAGACCGCAATCGTGTCCCCTCTAAGCCTTCTCTTTCCCAGCTCTTTCAACCTTTCCTCGTAAGACTTGGATTCCAACCCTCTCACCATCCTGGTTGCCCTCTTCTGGACACGCTCGAGCTTGTCAACATCCTTCCTAAAATGTGGTGCCCAAAACTGGACACGGTACTCCAGGTGAGGCCTGACCATAGCAGAATAGAGCGGAACTACCACCTCCCTTGATCTGGACACAATGCTTCTGTTAATGCATCCTAAGACTGCATTAGCTTTCTTCACAGCCACATCGCACTGCAGGCTCATGTTTAGCTGGTGAACATTACTACCAAACTACAAATAACAGAGTAAATAACATTATCTAGACAATCATCCTACCGATATTATTGTTCCACTTAGAGTAGAAAAATATACCAGAATAAAATACATAATCCATCTACATATCTAATAGCGAAGGCGCCCCCTGCGTGCGGATATCTAAATCCATGCACCGGGGGCACCTGGGGGGGGGGAGATTTTCCTGCACACTTGGGGCAGTCCCCAGGTGTGCACAAAAATCTAAAAAGTTGAAAAAATATAGGTGGGATATTTAAATCCCCCAAAAAGTGAAAAAGCGGTGGGCCGGGGGTTGGAAGCCTCTCAGGCCTCACCGCCGGAGCCGAAGTGGGGGGAGAGAGAGGAGGAGGGGA